AATCTCCCCTCCACCCCTCCCTTCCCAAGCTCAGCTGAATAGCCAGCTGTGTAAAGCACTTTGAGACATCCTTCCAATGGGCAAAGTACTATTTAAATGTAAATTGTATAACTGTATTGTAGTAAGTCTCTCCCAAGTCATTTATGAACAGTTTGAACAGTCGGAGACCTAGAACAGAGCCCTGAATTCACTACACAGTGTCCTCAATAGAGGTTTTCTATGATGATCTCTTGTTTGCTACTCTATTAGACTCAAACGTAGCTGGATGCATAGGCCTCTTCCCCATAACAGACATGACAGAGCAGCATCATTAAAGGGAAGTCTTCGCAAGCCTGAAAAATAGACATTACTGTATTCAAATATTTTTTTTTCCAAGACAGGTTGGGGAAGTACTTTGAACAGGGCGTGGTAGTTCTGTTTTCTATCTCTTAGCTATTTCTTAGCTTACAATTATAGTGCAAAATTCAACATGAACCTAGAACATTTAACCCAAAATCCATTTGATTATTTGCTCCTGTTACAGGTCGCACAAACAAACTTAACATTTGTTTTTTTTTAAATAAAACTTTTGCAAAAATATAGAGGTTAGACATTAGCACAGAGCAAACCCGCAAATGAGAAAATCTTTAGTGTTTTGTCCAGTTAAATTCTATTACTGTAAGTTGCAGTAAACTCCAGATAACTCAACCCTGGCTTAACTTATCATTATTACTTAATATCCCAACCGCTGCCCATGCAAAATGTTAATAAAAGCCTCTGCTTTACTTGTCATCCATTTGACACAACTAGTCACACTCTAGAAATTATTATAAGTACTTACATTGTAAAATTGATTGGATAAGATGCTAAAAGATGACATCTTCCATCACAGAGGTCTCCTGTCCTATCCTGTGACTGTTGTGGGTGCTCAGTGGAGGTTAAATGCACAAGCTCAGATGCATTGCAGAGGCCTCTGGTCTATTGGAGGGCTATGCGTAGCCTCTGCCCTACATCCCACACTATAGGGCAGGAGGCCACAGCACAGCCCTCTAATAGATCACAGGCTCCTAAGACAGGATAGAACGGGCCTCCAATAGACTGGAGGCTCCACAAAGCATCTGAGCATGTGCATCCAACCTCCACCAAGCGCCTGCAGCAATACCAGTGCCCCTGGGGTCCTCAAGCCTTGGCTCCAGCAAACATGCGCCTAACACTTTCCATGATGTGTCCCTCCAGGGAGAGAGTGGGCATTCCCATTCCAACAATCTATCTCTGGAATTTTCCTGGCCCAACTAGCCACTGTAGATAATTAGTCAATGAGCCCTTTTCCCTTGGAATGCTGAGTTATGAGAAGTTTACTGTATTTCCTCTGCAGTCCATACAACTTCATTTTAGTAAGATTCATTTTCAGTGCTTTGATAACTAATAACCATCTCATCATAAACTATGCCGCAGCATATTTAATTTATTCTCAATAATGTAAAACATACGGTTTTCCATCTGGAATGCGGTTATATGAGGTTTATGTTTTCTCAGAACATCAATTGCAAAAGTAGCTTCAGACTTTTAATTTTAAACATTCACAATAAAGTTAATCTCACAAAGATTTTACATGTCCTTAATCTATTTCTTTAAAAGAATTTCAATACAAGAAAAGAACCAATACCAACATTTCCACAATTTGACCTCTTACGTCTGCAATATTCTAGGGCACTGCTGATGACAACACAGCCAGCCTCGCTCATCGGCAGGACTTGTTGAGTGGCAGATCAGTCACTGGGACAGGGACTTGTCCAACTCAGCTCCTGTTAACCCTGCAAGCCAAATCCCTAATGTGTAGGGTGGTCCTAGCTGGACAAGCAGCGGGAAAGCTTGCCAAACAGTACTATCAACAACAACAACTTGGATTTATATAGCGCCCTCCACGCCAGACGGCGTCTCAGAGCGCTTTACAGTAACGGATCCCGGTACTGAGCCAGGGGGAGGAAGGTGACCAAAGGCGCAGTCAAAAAGAAAGATCTTCAGCAGAGACCTGAAAATGGGAAGGGAGGGAGCGAGATGAAGGGAGTGAGGAAGGCAGTTCCAGAGCCTCGGGGCATAGTGGCTGAAGGCACGGCTGCCGAGGATGGAGCGGAGGACTCGGGGGGCGAAGAGGAGGCCAGACCCGGAGGAATGGAGGCAACGGGTACTGTTTTGAGAAGAGAGGTCAAAGAGGTAGGGGGGTGCAGAGGAGTGCAGGGACTTGAATACAAGGGTGAGGATCTTGAAATTGATGGCAAGCTATAGGGTTTTAGCTGGTTAAGATTATCAGTACCTCAACGCACAATCTGGGGTCCTCAAGCCTTGGCTCCAGCGAACATGTGCCTAATGCTTTACGGAATTAGATAAGCATGATGTGTCCCTCCAGGGAGAGATTGGGCATTCCCATTCCAACAATCTATTTCTGGAATTTCCATCTGGATGCATGGAAATCTCAGTTTGGTTTGGAGACTCTTATGCATGGGTTTTCGCATGTGTCAGACACCGGGCTGACCAAAAAGGGCAAAACTGAAAGTTACTTAAAGAAGCAATTATTCATTAAATTTCCAATTTTTTTTGCATTATCTGTATTGAGCAGATTTAAGATTATACACTATGGTTTATTTCATGGCAACTGTCAAGGGCTTTGGGATGTCCTCACATTGTGTAAAGCACTACATAAGTGCAACTGTTATTATGTAAATTTTATTTTATGTGTATATGCATGTGCATTCTAACCTTGCAGATGCAATTAACTGCAATGCTTGTCAACAAACAGTTACTACACTTCAGAAAATGACTGGCTACTTACTTCAGGACATTCATTGACATGATGGGATATTCACCATAAAATGCAAGTTCTTTAGTAATCACTATGTGTAAATTGCATGTAAACCATGTGTAGAGGGATTTACGGGTTCCCTTAATAATGTCATTAACAAATGAAGGGGGACAGCCTGTGGCCTGAAATAAATAGACCCGCAGAATGAAAAGGGTGGTTCAGCAGGTGAATGGTGGAAGGATGGCTCTACTTAAAATAACATTACTTGAACCTGTTAGTTCAAGACAATGATGGAAATATATTGCTTCACATATTCTCCATGCGTACCTCTAGCCCACTAAATCCAAAATAACCGCAGTAGAATGGGTAGAAAGACCTTTTACCTTGCTTGAGGGCATTCTTTCCTGAAAGGTGGTGATAATGCAATATGCACTGCACCAACCACATATTAATCACATGATTGTCTTTATGTTTAGAGAGATGCTGCAAACAATAGAACTGTCCTGCAATCTGGACACTCCAACGCAGTGTTGAGCGAGCAGAGCATAATCATAGGAGAAGTGCTTTCGTTCAGACAAACCTAGGTCTCTGCTGTCTGTTCAAATGGATGCAAAATAATAACACAACTTGAAAAANGAGAGCTTCTCCCAGTGTTATTATAAATTTGGAAAATAAAGAGTATTCTTCCTACAAACCTGAAGGAATGACATCGTGGGAAATGAAATTGCTGCTACATGGAGCTGAATGGAATAGGATTTTAAAATCAAAGAACCAATTGGAAAACCCATAAAGCATTCACCGTCAACAATCTCTATGTCCTGCCCCACAAAATTCAACATATCAAGTGGAATCTGTACAGAAACAAGCTAAGAATCTGATCTGACTATTGGAACAGAGGTCTTTCATGCAGGGGAATAAAATCGAAAGTATGCCACTCAAATCCAGAATCTAATAAATCATGATGCACAATGCCAATATGGATTTGCCAAAACCCCCCTTTACTTTCCAGCACCTTGGGATGTCCTCCGGACGTGAAAGGCGCTATACAAATGTAATTTGGCTGTTATTCCTTGATGTTGTACTCTGATTTTCTATACAACCATAGATTTACATGTTTTGATTCTCAGCATTTGCATTTTTCTTGAGAAACACTGTTGCGGCTAAGCGCTAAAATAACCATCAATCCGAATCGATAATAGCTTTGGAGCCAATTTAGCCTAGAATATTGCTGCAACTGAAGTCAAGAACTACATAAATTCTCCCTGGTGGTGTCTGGAGCTATTTTAGTTGCATGTAGAAGTTATTGAAATAGATTTTGCTAATGTTTGATTGTAATGTTTAAGCCAAACTACAGATGAAACCCATTTATAACACAAGTTCACGTATAGTGTGCTCGAAGTAGAGACCCAACATTTACCCACCAAAAAATCTAAATAGCCAGCCTGTCCCCATGCTAGCAATGACCGACTTCAAGGTCATCAGTGACATCACATGCTGCACACTGCATATAAGTGACGGAGGCAATCTGATGAGCTGGAAGTCAGACATTTTTAGTGCGGGAGCTGGCTGGCACTCAGAAAGAGCCACCGAGCAGCATGCATACAAAATAAATGTGAAAGCACAAAACAGTGATGCAGTCCCATCATAAGGTTGGAATTTCATTGGTCCACTTATAAAGGAGTTACTATAAAGTAGCTCAGTGGTTAGAGCATTCGTTTCGTAAGCAAGAGAACTGGGTTCGATTCCTGAGTAGGGCGAAATGTTGGGCAAGTTTCCTTACTCCACAAGCCTCTGATTATCCAGCAGCAAGTAGAAACCCGGTTGTTAGTTGATTGGCGGATCGCTTTTCCGGGGGTAATAATTCTTTTTTTTATAAAAAAAATGAATTGGTCATTCAATCCATAACTGTTTGTGGGACACTGTTGTGTGCAATTGGCTGCTGCGTTTCACCCACAAAATAGTCAATTCACTTTACAATATATTCTGTGAAGCGTGATAAGGCACAATATCAAATGCAAGGATTATTATAAAGGAGTTCTACTAGAATACTTTCAATAAAAGCTAAACATACCAACTTAATATTTTAATACGTCTTGACGTTCAAGAATTTAGCTCGTAAGAATGCTACACTATATAAATGTATACCAGTTAAGACTGAGTTAGGCTTTACTTAAATACTGTATCTTGAAAGGCGTTTGTATTTTAAGTGAAGGATACTCACATGGCTGTGGGGAGGTTGACTCTGAGGCACCGAACCAGGAGTCAACACTGGTGAGCTGGCAGGACTACAAAGCTCTGGAAAAGGGTTTGGGATAGTAGGCAAAGATGATGTACGAAACTGTTCTTCTTCCTGGAGTCTTCTGTATGTGAAAATTACAAATAAGATACTTTGGATTTGGTTTCAATGATTCAGCCAAGTCGACACAAAAGAAAAAGGTAATTTAGTAATTTACTTTTGGATGCCCGTCTCCATGATCATCTCTTCAGATGTATATTAATAAGAAAATAGTCATTTTTAAAAACTTCCATTTTATTTTGGGCCCAATTAACATTTTAGAAAGGATTCCCTCACTTTGATGATCTCAAATGACCACATATAATCATAGACTTACTCAAACCTAGTTCACAACCACCACTAAACTAGACTTTGTTAACTGCAACTGAAAATCTCTTCATCTTCTGAGTTCTTGCTTAGCACTAACATAATTGTAATCCAAACATATTCAAAGTCTCGGGACAGAATGAGTCATGAATTATAGGGGAGAAGAAAGAAGTACAAGTATTTTAAGACCACTGATCCCCACAGACTGGAGGAAAAGATGCCTATAATTTAGCAGGTTGGCCTAAATATCTTCCTAACCCTAGTCATAAATTGACATATATCTAGGCTGATGTTCTTTCAATTTGTATGTCACACCTTCTCTAATCTATGCAACTATGTATCTACCCACTCAAGTATCATTTAATGTCTGTTGTAAGGATTACTGTCGCATTTCAATTTTAGACATCTTGTAGATAGGATTTCTTTCTAATGATTTCTGCATTCCTTTGAGCAGAGATTTAGCCCAACACATACAGAACTAGTTTGGAAGAAACCAAATCTGGTATGAATCATTTCAAACCTTCACTAGAAGGCTTCCTGATATTCCATGAAAGAACTGTCAAGGTGCTGGAAAAAATTAGTTTAGGCTGATCGAAGTCTATATAGTCAGGTTTGGTCTCTGGGTATTTCAACAATGTTCCGTAAAATGAGTTCTCACAATTAACAGGACCAGATTTGGATGCTCGAGTCTTTATTTTCAGATATAAGGTTTCATGCAACACGGTTAAAATAGACTGAAACACAGAATGTGACTGTTTGTTAGGAAGTTCAATTTCCTGTCAACATCTAAATTTGACTTCTTGTGATTATTTACAACATGTTTATCTATATACTTGACAAAAAGACTGTACACAATTTGATTTCTTCCTTGTTGAAAGGAAAGTCAACAGTAACAGCCTCCCCAATACTAGTTACATCCAACATTATGATGGTATGAGAAGTCTATGATCCAAATCTGATAATCAGAAGAAATCATGAGTGACTGAAAAAATGGAACAAAAGATGCAACACAAAATGGACTGAATTTGTGCCTAGTGTTAATGAATAGGATACAAGATCATAGAGAATCCAAATTGCTTCTTTGTAAAATCAGTTTAACTTTGAATTCAGCTGATCTTCTACAAAATATGAAATACTACAGGACAAAGACTTATTCACTATTCATAGAACCAGATTCCTCAGCCAGTTGATAGAACTAATGAAACTGGTGCACTTAAACACCTGATATTAAAAACCTGAATTGGATACTTTAAAATGGAATTGGACTGGATGGCTATTTTAGTAATGAATAAAACAGGTAAGGAGCCCAGCCAATTTCATAATGCCTCACAAAAGGGGCTCCTTCATGTACATTTTGATTAATTCCCCTCGTCTGTGGGTCCTGATGACATCTTCCAAAGGCATCATTATTTACATTCTTTCAATTGCTGTTTTAGGCACATAATAATTTATAGTTATAAGCATATGTCTTTTCACATCATTTATATTTAAAATAAAAGAGAGCAAGCCCCTATGATTATTACATATGATTTTGAACACCAAGTAATATTTCTTGTGATCAAGTAGGAAAACAAATTCTTGAATACTGGACAGTTATCATTAAAGCATATACGTTATAAGCTTATGTCTTAAAATAATGATGAATTATGATTATATTTCCAAGGAAAAAGTGAGAATTCTTGTGTGTCAGACTCCCCAATAAGTAGAAACAAGTAGAAAAGTCTATTTATGCTCATCCTCCTGGGTGGCAGGGAGTTGAACTGGCTTCAAGATGACATGCCTGGCAACGGAATGTCAGAATCAAGCCCTCTGTGGTGGTCTCGGGAGTCGAGTTCCTGAGCCAGGCAGTACTCCTGGGCACTGCTGATGGTGGCACATAATATAGCCTGGCTCATCAACAGGACCTGGGAGGACAGACCAGTCACTGGGGGCAGGGGGGGACATCCCGCCCAGTTCCTGTTAACCCTGCAAGCCAAAGCCTTAACGGGTAAGGTGGTCCAAGCTGGACAAGTAGCAGAAAAGCTTGCCAGTCAGTGCTTGTCCTTTAAACATATCTGGGCTCTTATCCGTTCAGCTTTCTTCCACCTCTGTAGCATTATCCACCAGTTGCCTAACCAAGGTTTATACAAATTCAACATTATTGATTTTATTAACAACTCACAGCGGACATACAGTAGGCCAGAGTTGGCTTAGTGGAAGGATTGGTGGGAGACAGAACTGCAGGAGATCACTAAGCAGGGTATGGCAAGGATGTGCAGGCATTTCAAAGTTTTTAAAAAAAGGTCTTGAAATCAATTAACTGAGAGGAGAGTAGCCAGAGGAGCCTTGTGAGGATGGGGTGATGGGCTTATAGAGCCTGGTAGGGAAAGGATAGTTTTGGATGAACTTTAGCTTGTGAAGGGTTAGCCTGGGAAGGCCAGCTAGGAAGGCATTGGAGAAGTCATCAGAAGGTGATGAAGGCATGATGAGGATTTCAACTGAACTGGGCGTGAGGATGGGACAGAGGTGAATGTCATAGCTGAGTAGTCAGTGGCAGGGCCAACAAATTACATCTATACAACGTTTTTCATGTCATAAGTACTAGCCAAAGCACTGAAGCAGCATAGTTTTAGTTGAAGTTGAAGAAAGAAGTCTCCTCCAGGACTTGATGTTTGATAAGGAGTCTGCAAGAACAGTAGTGGTCTTAGAATCAAAGTAGAAGCAGAGGTAGTCAGGTATCTTCACATACATATGGAAGTGAACTCCATGCCTATGAATGACATCACAAGGCCTGTTTGCATGTAAATACGGAGGAGTGGTCCACTACAAGTATGAAAAAAATCTGTGGTGATTTCTATGAGTTTGATGTAAAGTGTTAAATGAAAGGTGTAGTAAAGCAGAACTTCTGAAATACTGCATTTTCTTTCTGGTGCTTTACTTCCAAGGGTCCAATAGTTCTATGGTGGTAAAAGGCATGTCTGAAAATATGACTTTCTTTGTTGGACCAGATGGTCTGTCATTTAGTTAGTTCAGTTTAACCTTACAATAGCCAAAAAACAATGTTGGTGTTTCTTATAGAAGCTGACTGCTACAACAGTTTCAATATGTGCACAGTGTTATTTACATTAAACCAAACCAGATACTTAGCTATAGCCAGAAAATTTATAATGTTTTTAGGCCTGATCCTATCTAGGCATCAAACTGTTTAGACTCCTTCTCAGATGTTGCAAGTTTTTTTTGGATATAAAGCTTGCCATATTCCATCTGCACATGGAGAACTGGTTAGTGATAATGTAAACAGGAAAATTTCAACACATGGGGCACCCGATAAGCCACATCTGGCCTGGATGTCAGTTACCCACTGGAATAAATGTTCTCAAAAAATGCCATTTACAATCCAAACATGGAAGTAAAATCACAGTTAATCATGAGTTAATAGCTATGTCCAATGTATAGAACCCTTGGTAGAATGACGAGTAGAAAGTAGAATGACTAGCATACATGAAAGTGGACTCTCAGCTGACAAGGAATCTTCACATTATACTTTTTAAATCCAAAATTCTGAGTTTCTTGCCAATCTTTTCCACTGAGCTTTTATTTCCAGATTGAGGAGAGGGTGGAGGGAGAGAAGAGGGAGGATTCACAGTGAGTGTGAGTGAGAGTCAATGAGCCAGATCTGAAAGTTAAAAGTCAGATATTGAAAAAAACAGTCAAGAGAAAGGTGCAGAGGGAGTGGGGTGCGCAGGAGTTCTAGCGCAATGTGGCATAACTTCTTGCTAGTATAATTTCTTGTTAGAATTGCATCCCATTTTGCATGATAATCCATTATCATGGTTTCAATTTCCCCAATGGGACTGGCCTTAATTAGTGGGGATAATAAACTCTCCACTGGGGGTAAATGTACAGATATCACCAAGCTAGTGGGAATTATGCAATTAGAGGACAGTCAAGATTTTATCAAAAAACTTGACAGGATACGCACTTGGGCTAATCATTGTCGAACGACATTCAATATAGATAAATACAAATTACTGCATATCGGAAGTAAAAGTAGAATGCATATGTCCTCCATGAACGGGGTAGAACTTGCAATAAATGAGGCAAATAGAATGCTAAATCGGTTGAGTTCAGATCCCATGTCACGTACATCAAGTGGAGTAAAAACATACAGTTCTGGTCCCTGAGACACAAAAATGATGCCCAAGGACTTGATGCAGGTTAGCAAAGAGCAACAAGACTAATTCCAGTACTAGAGCTATGAGTGAAAGGGACGTTTCAGAAGATGGTATAAAGGTATTCAAGGTGTTAAACAAGGTAAATAAAGTATACCTACTTCAGATACACAGAAAGCAATCAACATCTGTGACAGGTCACCTGTTACATTCCTGTCAGTCTGAAATGTTTGAATATGTGCTGTGTGAAACGAGTAGTCCTAAAGGAGATATTTCTGTTCTAATTCAGGATTCTAGTCCTGAATTCCTTGGAGCAAGGCTGGTAAATGCTACTTGTATGTTTTTTATGCAATATTGATATTGGATCATACAAATATCAACTTGGAAGTTTTATGATTATTTAGAGATATTTCACAGGCCTATAAATCTCTCACACAACGGCTGCACTTCCAAGGCAGGAATAAATGATGAATTATGTATGAACACATTTTTTTTTAACGAAAAATCAAGACATGGCGAGTTCTATCCAATGAACGCGACAATCAAATCTTTTGTACACAAGTGTAAGTAAACGAGATACAATACAATTGGTTTTAAAAAAAGCGGGCCCCCTATCAAAGCCTTACCTGACTGCCAGAATGTGCATTGGTTGAGAACGTCGCACCTTCTGCCTTGGTGATGTGGACTGCGGTGAGTTAGTTCCTGAATTTGCCAAGTGACTACGGCCAAGTTGGCCATTTTGAATAAGTGGCGCCGTTTCTGATTGGGTAGTGCATATGGAATACAAACTGTCGAATGATGAGTTCATGTCATTCACCAGTGCCTCCAGGTCTACATCATCCTCTGGAAGAAAAACGAGATAACATTTTAAGCTATTTGGATGACATTATCCAATAAGAATTAGATTTCCCATATTTAACCGAACTTTTAGAACTTTTGAATCCAAGGTATTAAAGAGAAAATCTGTTAAAATCAAAAGATAGCAAAGCACATTTTGATTTTAATTGATTTTCTCTCCCTTGGATTCAAAAGTTCTAAAATCGATTGCAAATACAGTAAAACTGAGATACATCTTATCTTTATATAAATCGTATAATCCCCTAGGTCGTATATGTACCCGAGTTCCATCAGGTCCTATCGAAACCACTTAGATTTCTTTGCATTACTAATATTAATCACTTCCTAACTTGTAAAACGGCTCCCCTACCCTCCACTACTTCCGGATGCACTGAATTGGGGGAAATGACAACCTGATCTTTCGACACATGCGCACTTACCAGCTGCAGTGACAAGCTACCACATGTGCGCTTAACGGCTGACTGAATTACACATGCGTGTTACAGACTGTAGTTAAGGTTTTAACCATTCTTTGAATGTGATTCAACATCCACAAAAAGTAATAATCTGCTCAAATGGGTGAGTTTATATTTTAAAACTCAGTTCACCCATATCTTTCTTACTGATGAGCTGTTCTAAAACAGTTTCATATATTCATGAACTCTTATTCTATTTAGATACTATTAATGCTCTGTGAATATCAACATTATGCTTCCTTTCAATTAGACAAAACATCCAATGCCACATAGTCCTGTTTGCTGAGACAAATAATGCATAATATAACTTTGATTCTCTGACCTAATTGAAATATTGAGCAAAAAGTATTGCAAGGAACATCTGAGTCTGAACAATAAAGGTACATGTTAGCTGTTGAATGAACGTTTGACTTCCCAAGCTTTGTTTATGAATCTATATTACCACCTACTCCATTTAGTTCTATATGTATTTTAGGGCAGAAGCTTTTCAAAACATGAATAAAATTTGCCAGTGAAGGAAGAAGCTCCAGTCTATCTCGTCATCTTAATAATCAAATTATCAAGTACCAGCTGTATCCATTGCAGCTTCGCTTGCAACTAAAGCATCCAATTTGGAATATAGATCGACACACAGATAGATGCACTTATCCTTCAAAGGTTTGATTTTCACTCAGGCATCTTTATAATGATAAATATAAATGTATAATTTGTAATCACTGGGACGTCCTCCCAACGTGAAAGGCGCTTTAAAAGTGTAATTTTGTTGTTGTTGCCGCAGCTTAGCTTCTGCATGTTCTTTATTTTGTTCCCGCCACCGCTTGGCTACGTGCGTGCTCTGTGACGAAGAATGCCACAGCACCAGTCAGTAACTACACGATGCTACTTTGACTTGGTGACCACCAGTTGTAACTGCAGCAAAAAANCACAAAACTGAAATACATTTTAAGTCATAACTCATGAACGATATGAGATACCCAAAAACAAATATGCCAATGTCACTCCCAAATGCAAGACCTTTCCAATGAGGTATAAATCATGGCTCTACGTCAATTGGTTATTAAGATCCTTCTTGAAGCGCACATAGACAAGACAGTAGTTTTATCAATATTTAAATAAGTTGTGGAGGGCTCTGTGATAAACCTGGCCCTTGCTATCTAATGGACAGCAGACGCTATACAATATCTAGAAAAGTAGAATAATCCTGAGAGTGAAAAAGTCAAAGAACCATATTTTTGCTCAGCCAATAAAGTCACAATGGTTTTTTTTCTACACACATTTTGTGAATTACTGGGTGCAAGGGGAAACAGAAGGAAGGCATGCAGTAGGATCAATAATGAAATGCATCTGCTTAACTGCTCTGGATCCTTCAACAGAATCTTGGAAATTCTTTTTTGAATTTTACAATGAGATTTATTCATGGGAATGACATCTGTCAAATATCTGAGTCATTCCTAAAAATGAGAATGACAAGAATTCCTGCTGTACCATTTGGTTGGGCGTTGAGAAGAATGGATAAGGGACTCCATTGACATAGAATGTGAAAGTTTTCTTTGCATTGAGATACAGTAGAAGAATTAATTCCGCTCTTCTTTTTACTTTACTGAAGTGATGAAGTTGCCCAGGGCTTAGTTAATTTGTTCCAGATCGGTTTCTTGGAAAATATCACAAACAACAAACCTGCCTGAAACCTCAAAAATCTTTTTATGTGCCAGTTGGCTCAGACTCCATTAATCTATACTTCCTAAAGATGGGCACCCTAAGCTAAAAATAATGCTCAAGACAGGAAATGAAGCATGAAACGAATGAAGACAGACACGGTTGCAACATCCCAATCAACTGTTTTTGCATATAATATTGGGCCCAAACACAGGCTGCTTGAAAGAGATGAAAATATTTAAGTTTCATGATCTTTAAATATTCAGACCAAAAATTGGCTAAAGAAATAATCATCATCTTTGCGTTTGATGACATCCTGATGAATTACACGTTTCTTCACAGGATTTTCTGTAAAATGTAGTGCCTACATATTTTGTAAGTGAATGGGCAACCGATTCACACATACCAATTCCCACAAGCAGCCACGACCAATGTAATCACTTAGGTTGGCAAGAACAGTGGGGAAATTCGCTTCTGTGATTTTTTTTGATCAGCTGGATATCTGACACATGCAGAAACCCATCACCATGCTTACAGAGTATCCAAACAAGAGAGTTCTGTGTATACCACCTACCCAAAGTAATTCCCGTGTCTGGAATAAAATTCCCAGAGGAACACATCCTGCTTACCTGGAGCCCTTCTCAGAGCACTGAACTATATTGGTAGTGTGATGTGCTAGTTCCTATCTTGAGCAGTTTTTAGGGTAGGGTGCCCATCTTCAGGGAGAAGACTAACAGACTGAAAGGCATGTACAAAACTAGAGAAGATGTTAGCAGTCTAAGCAATTGGTCCCAAGTAAAAAGAACACAACAATCCAATTTACCAAGTATCTGAGGACTATTACATTTTTACCCACAAAAAAGGTATTTTTAGTTCTGTTTTCAGTCAAAAAAAGAGAAAAATTGTGGAGAATGAAAAAAGACCAAAAAAACTGAATTCAAGTAGAAATCTGAATTTATTTTGGATTATCAAATAAGCCCTTAAAAAAAAGTATTTGTTCAGATAGATGTACCTTTCCTACGAGTCAACCACGTAACCAGGTGTACTGCTGGTAACCAGGCCAGCCAGCTTGGCTTATCGGCAGGACTTGAGGAAGCAGACTTGCCAACTTGTGCTTAATACTCTCTGGAATTAGGTAAGAAGATTGTGTCCCTCCTGGGAACGAGTGTGCATTCCAATCCAATAAATATCTTGGGAATTTGCATGTATAGGTGGGATGCATGAAACTCTGCTGGGTTTGGCTACTTTAAGTATGGTGATGGGTTTCCACATGTGTCAAGACTCCTGGCTAACCAATAAAAGGGAAAGTGAACACAATGCTGAAACAAGCTTATCAACCTGTGCAATGTACGCACATTTTGCAAAAACTGTTCATGCATGTGCACCCTGCACAGCACATGGATCCCTGGAACCAATAGTGCAGCAAGCCAGGTTTTAGGCTGCATTGCACCGTAATGGACATCGAACAAAACTGGTAAATTAATTTTTTAGAAATGAAATCTTTTACTGATAGACTTTCACTCAATATACAGGCATTATTAGTGAGAAATAGTTTTAAAAATTACATTCGTACAAGTAGTAATCTACAGTCGCATTTGCATAACATTAAGTCACCTATTATAATCTGCATAATGTTATACAAGCAAACGGTCGTGCTTGCTATGTTTTGTACACATTTGAGTTTGTATAGTGTTAGTCGTATAATGTTATAATTCATCCAATATTATACAAATTTGCAGTCCAGATTAACAAAAGATTAAATAATGTTATACCCAGGCGTGTAGTGCTGCCGGAGTGGAGACAAGTACATGGTCCCATGAGAGCACAGGATGGGTTGATCTTCCAATAAAAAGAATGTTCCAAAGAAAATGGCAGATGGTCCAATGAAAAGAAGCTGTTCAGTACAGTATTTCACCGCCAATAGTGGCTGTTATTTTTGCGATTCAATTTTGAAGATAAGTCAAAATAAGATTTTTAAAATAAAAAAATCTTATTAAAGGGAATTAAAGTAAAATATTGGATTTTTAAAATGTTTTTTGTTAGCTTTGACATTGTAAATGCCTTCAGAATAGTCTGGAAGTGTTTATAGGGAACGTTCCTCTATTGTTATAGTATGGAAAATGTTATAATTTTGTCTGGTTTGACAGAGAATAACATTAACCAGATGAGTGTACTTCCCTCTTGAATCTGCTGATATAATCTGTCTTCACCATATCCTTTACATACAGTAAAGCAGTTAAATCTAAACTGTCGGCTCTCTTTCCCTTGAGACCTGAGTTCAATTCCAGGCAGAGGGCGAAACCTTGGGCAAGTTTCCTTACTCCACACGCCTAATAATAATCCCTCCAAAACCAAAAACAATAATAAATTGGTCATTTTCAATCTACGACTGCTTGTGGGACACTGCTGTGCACAATTGGCTGCCACGTTTGCCCACAAATACAGTCAATTCACTTTACAGTATATTCTGTGAAGCGCTTTGGAACGTCTAGAAGACGTGAAAAGCGCTATATCAAATGCAAGGATTATTATTATTACAAGCTGTAAGAAAAGATTAAGTGGAAAGAGGGGGTCAATACATTTTGTATACAAAAGCACGAGGCTCTGACTGCATTTACTATGAATAAAAATCAGATTTTGATAAACCATATTTGTACATGGAAGTAAGCAAGGCTTTTCAGTAGCAACAATATAAAGAACCACAACAACAAAATTACATTTATAGAGCGCCTTTCACATCGGAAGGACGTCCCAAAGCACTGAACAGTCAGATTTCAGGGCCCGAGCATGGAGGAGGGGTGGTGTAGGGGTGAGGGAAGGCAGAGAAGTGGGAGGGAGACCAAAGGCACGATCGAAGAGAAGGGTCTGGAGACC